CTGCGGCCTCCCTCAGCCTTCCGGGCCGACAACGCGGTGGCCTCGAACATCTTCGGAGCCTCGTGATACAAGTGTGCAAGCGTGCTGGCGGCGCGGGCACCCCCTCGAAACAGTGCTTGCACCTAATTAACCTCGCCAGTGCGAGCGTCCCCCAAAAAAAGTCGTGCTGCGCAAGTAAGGACAACCTGGGCGGAGGGGGATATCGCGCGGCGGGAGGAAGCGGCATGCCTGCCCACCGTCCAAGCCGTGCTAGCCCAGCCGCCGCCCACAAGACATGTTGGAGGGTTGCCTTATGAAACTGCAGCTCTGACTCGATGGATTGAATGAAGCCCTGGGAGAACATTGCTCTGCTTGATACAAGCTTAGCAAAGCTTTTTTATTATTATTATTATTTTATATATATATATTATTATTTTTTTATTTTTTTTGTTCATTTTATCTTTTCTTTTTTCCCGGAAAGGGCATGAGCCCAGGGTTCTCTTTTAGTTGGTAAACCTAATCCCCCGGTGCCTGCTTGAGGGAGGCCGGCGAATTTTTTCCCTGATAAATAACGAGGTCGAAGGAGGCCGGCGAATTAAAATTTGAGGATGTCTCGAGCGAAACGCTTGTTTTTGAAATCCCGATCGATAAATCACAGGGTGCGGGCCACTTTTTCGTGTGTTGAGGATGTCTCGAGCGAAACGCTTGCTCCGCAGAGTTTGCCGAGGATGTCTCGAGCGAAACGCTTGTTTTGCAGAGCCGACCGCGACGCGGAAAAGCGCCCCGCGCGAAGGAATTTCGATGATGTTTCGACTAATTTGTTTGTTTTTCCCGGAAAGGGCATGAGCCCAGGGTTCTCTTTTAGTTGGTAAACCTAATCCCCCGGTGCCTGCTTGAGGGAGGCCGGCGAATTTTTTCCCTGATAAATAACGAGGTCGAAGGAGGCCGGCGAATTAAAATTTGAGGATGTCTCGAGCGAAACGCTTGTTTTTCAGAATTTCTTGAGGATGTCTCGAGCGAAACGCTGGTTTTGCAGAGTTGAGGATGTCTCGAGCGAAACGCTTGTTTTCAGAATTTGCTGAGGATGTCTCAAGCGAAACGCTGGTTTTGCAGAGCCGACCGCGACGCGGAAAAGCGCCCCGCGCGAAGGAATTTCGATGATGTCTCGACTAATTCGTTTGTTCCCGGAAAGGGCATGAGCCCAGGGTTCTCTTTTAGTAGGTAAACCTGTCCCCCGGTGCCAACTTGAGGGAGGCCGGCGAATTTTTTCCCTGATAAATAACGAGGTCGAAGGAGGCCGGCGAATTAAAAATTGAGGATGTCTCGAGCGAAACGCTTGTTTTTGAAATCCCGATCGATAAATCACAGGGTGCGGGCCACTTTTTCGTGTGTTGAGGATGTCTCGAGCGAAACGCTTGATCCGCAGAGTTTGCCGAGGATGTCTCGAGCGAAACGCTTGTTTTGCAGAGCCGACCGCGACGCGGAAAAGCGCCCCGCGCGAAGGAATTTCGATGATGTCTCGACTTATTCCTTTGTTTTTGTACGATTTCCTGGAATTTTGGCAGGATGTCTCGAGCGAAATGCACGACCCAACCCTAGCACGACCATACCCCAGCACGACCACACCCCAGCACGACCAGACCCCAGCACGACCCCACCCCAGCACGACCCCACCCCAGCACGACCATACCCCAGCACGACCACACCCCAGCACGACCACACCCCCAGCACGACCACCCCCCAGCACGACCACGCCCCAGCACGACCACACCCCAGCACGACCACTCCCCAGCACGACCACACCCCAGCACGACCACACCCCAGCACGACCACACCCCAGCACGACCACACCCCAGCACGACCTCATCACAACACGACCACACCCCAGCACGACCACGCCCCAGCACGACCACGCCCCAGAACGACCACGCCCCAGCACGACCACCCCCCAGCACGACCACCTCCCAGCACGACCACCCCCCAGCACCACCACCCCCCAGCACGACCACACCCCAGCACGACCACACCCCAGCACGACCACACCCCAGCACGACCACACCCCAGCACGACCACGCCCCAGCACGACCCCACCCCAGCACGACCACACCCCAGCACGACCACACCCCAGCACGACGCCACCCCAGCACGACCCCACCCCAGCAAGACCACACCCCAACACGACCACACCCCAGCACGACCTCACCACAGCACGACCACACCCCAGCACGACCACGCCCCAGCACGACCACGCCCCAGCACGACCACGCCCCAGCACGACCACGCCCCAGCACGACAACGCCCCAGCACGACCACCCCCCAGCACGACCACCCCCCCAGCACGACCACCCCCCAGCACGACCACCCCCCAGCACGACCACACCCCAGCACGACCACTCCCCAGCACGACCACACCGCCTTGGTTGAGTGGTTGCCTGTCGTCGTGGTATGTTTCGTGGGGTGTCTCGTGGAATGTTTCGCGGGGTGTCTCGTGAAATGTTTCGTGAGGTGTCTCGTGGAATGTTTCGTGAGGTGTCTCGTGGGCTGTTTCGTGAGGTGTCTAGTGGGATGTTTCGTGAGGTGTTGCCCAGTTGGGTATCATGAAAACGTGTCCATGCTCCACATGTCTATATCCCTTTCCGGGTTCGTGGGTCCATCATGTTGTACGATTTCCTGGAATTTTGGCAGGATGTCTCGAGCGAAATGCACGACCCCACCCTAGCACGACCATACACAGCACGACCACACCCCAGCACGACCAGACCCCAGCACGACCCCACCCCAGCACGACCCCACCCCAGCACGACCATACCCCAGCACGACCACACCCCAGCACGACCCGACCCAGCACGACCCTACCCCAGCAAGACCACACCCCAGCACGACCACACCCCAGCACGACCTCACCACAGCACGACCACACCTTCAGCATGACCACACATCAGCACGACCACGCCCAGCACGACCACGCCCCAGCACGACCACACCCCAGCACGAACACACCTCAGCACGACCACACCCCAGCACGACCACACCCCAGCACGACCACACCCCAGCACGACCACACCCCAGCACGACCACTCCCCAGCACGACCACACCCCAGCACGACCACACCCCAGCACGACCACACCCAGTCGCACCCCCGTGGAATGTTTCGTGGCGTGTCTGGTTGAGTGGTTGCCTGTTCGTGGGGGGTCTCGTGGAATGTTTCACGGGGTGTCTCGTGGAATGTTTCGTGAGGTGTCTCGTGGAATGTTTCGTGAGGTGTCTCGTGGATGTTTCGCGGGGTGTCTCGTGGGATGTTTCGTGAGATGTCGCCCAGTTGGGTATCGTGAAAACGTGACCATGCTGCACATGTCTTTATCCCTTTCCGGGTTCGTGGGTTTCCATTCATTTAGTAGGTAAACCTGTCCCCCGGTGCCAACTTGAGGGAGGCCGGCGAATTTTTTCCTTGATAAATAACGAGGTCGAAGGAGGCCGGCGAAATAAAATTTGAGGATGTCTCGAGCGAAACGCTTGTTTTTGAAATCCCGATCGATAAATCACAGGGTGCGGGACACTTTTTCGTGTGTTGAGGATGTCTCGAGCGAAACGCTTGCTCCGCAGAGTTTGCCGAGGATGTCTCGAGCGAAACGATTGTTTTGCAGAGCCGACCGCGACGCGGAAAAGCGCCCCGCGCGAAGGAATTTCGATGATGTTTCGACTAATTTGTTTGTTTTTGTACGATTTCCTGGAATTTTGGCAGGATGTCTCGAGCGAAATGCACGACCCCACCCTAGCACGACCATACCCCAGCACGACCACACCCCAGCACGACCAGACCCCAGCACGACCCCACCCAGCACGACCCCACCCCAGCACGACCATACCCCAGCACGACCACACCCCAGCACGACCCGACCCCAGCACGACCCTACCCCAGCAAGACCACACCCCAGCACGACCACACCCCAGCACGACCACCCCCCAGCACGACCCCACCCCAGCACGACCACGCCCCAGCACGACCACGCCCCAGCACGACCACGCCCCAGCACGACCACCTCCCAGCACGACCACCCCCCCAGCACGACCACCCCCCAGCACGACCACGCCCCAGCACGACCACACCCCAGCACGACCACTCCCCAGCACGACCACACCCCAGCACGACCACACCCCAGCACGACCACACCACAGCACGACCACACCCCAGCACGACCCCACCCCAGCACGACCCCACCCCAGCACGACCCCACCCTAGCAAGACCACACCCCAGCACGACCACACCCCAGCACGACCACACCACAGCACGACCACGCCCCAGCACGACCACGCCCCAGCACGACCACGCCCCAGCACAACCACCCCCCAGCACGACCACCCCCCCAGCACGACCACACCCCAGCAAGACCACCCCCCAGCACGACCACACCCCAGCACGACCACTCCCCAGCACGACCACACCGCCTTGGTTGAGTGGTTGCCTGTCGTCGTGGAATGTTTCGTGGGGTGTCTCGTGGAATGTTTCGCGGGGTGTCTCCTGGAATGTTTCGTGAGGTGTCTCGCGGAAAGTTTCGTGAGGTGTCTCGTGGGATGTTTCGTGAGGTGTCTCGTGGGATGTTTCGTGAGGTGTTGCCCCGTTGGGTATCGTGAAAACGTGCCCATGCTCCACATGTCTATATCCCTTTCCGGGTTCGTGGGTCCATCATGTTGGCTTCTATGGGAGGCCGCTCTTCTCAGGCTCTGGCGACACTCTTCGGGCGGTCTGCTGACTGACTACGCTGTGTCGCTGCGCGCGCGGGCGACGTCAGAAGCGTGTACTCTCGAGGTGGGGGCGCCACTGGCATGGTCCGTGACACTCGTCGCCACGCCAGAACTCCTGGGGACGCCGAGCCTATGGGTCGTGTTCGGGTGTGCCCCCATTTGGTACCCCTTGTTCGGGCTCGGTGTGCGGCTGTGCGCCCGCCTCAGTGTTCCTCCTGTCTGTCCTCCGCACTCCTCCCTCTCCACACTCGGGAGCAGGGCACACTCGAGCGACAGGTCGGTCAACGAGCTGGAGCATCACGTTCGCCCGAAAGGGGCCTCCAAGCTTGGAGCCCTGCTCCAGTGAGGCTGGCAACGCCCCCCCCCCCGCGGGCGGAGCCACGCATGCGAGCCGGGAAAGGTGCTATTCGTCTTCTTGCTTCCCTTGGCTTCCCCTCCCCTCCCCTCCCACCTCTTGTTTCCCTCTCCCCTCCCTCCCCTCACCTCCTCTCCTCTCCATCTCCCTCGTCCCTCTTCCCGTCCCCGCCCTCCTCTCCTCTCCGCTCCCGTCCCACCCTGTTACCCTGGACGCTCTCGTTCCCTCCTGTTTCTCCCCTCCCCCCCCCCTCGCGTGCCCATCTCCTCCTCTCCTCATCCCTCCGTCTGCGAGTAACCTGCAGCCTGGTGCCAACGACGCAGTTTCTGCCATTTTGCCAACATCTCCTGATTGTCCAGTTCTGCACGGAAGTGGCCATGGTTCAGGGCAAAGGTCATGTGTATCTCTGGGGACGGGCAAAGAGGGGGGAGTGGGAAAGGGATGGTCGCGAAATCTGCAGCATGCAGATTGTTTCTCCATGCCCCCTTTGCTCCCCCTTTCGCCCGACCCTACTCTTGCTTATGTGCAGAAGGCCATATTTGACAAGGCAGCGGAGCGCGGCTCACCCGAGCGGGTAGTTCAAGTTTTGAGGATCACACACACAGCGTCATCATAGCGTCTTCGAGTTCACAGGGACATCGACAAGGAGCACGCACCGTAGATCGGCGCAGCCCAGTCAAACTGTTGGCGATTTTTCCCGGAAAGGGCGTGGGCCCAGGGTTCTCTTTTAGTAGGTAAACCTGTCCCCCGGTGCCAACTTGAGGGAGGCCGGCGAATTTTTTCCCTGATAAATAACGAGGTCGAAGGAGGCCGGCGAATTAAAAATTGAGGATGTCTCGAGCGAAACGCTTGTTTTTGAAATCCCGATCGATAAATCACAGGGTGCGGGCCACTTTTTCGTGTGTTGAGGATGTCTCGAGCGAAACGCGTGCTCCGCAGAGTTTGCCGAGGATGTCTCGAGCGAAACGCTTGTTTTGCAGAGCCGACCGCGACGCGGAAAAGCGCCCCGCGCGAAGGAATTTCGATGATGTCTCGACTAATTCCTTTGTTTTTGTACGATTTCCTGGGATTTTGGCAGGATGTCTCGAGCGAAATGCACGACCCCACCCTAGCACGACCATACCCCAGCACGACCACACCCCAGCACGACCACACCCCAGCACGACCACACCCCAGCACGACCACACCCCAGCACGACCACACCCCAGCACCAGCACGACCACACCCCAGCACGACCCGATCGATAAATCACAGGGTGCGGACCACCCCAGCACGACCACACCCCAGCACGACCCCACTCCAGCACGACCCCACCCCAGCACGACCACGCCCCAGCACGACCACACTCCAACACGACCACACCCCAGCACGACCACACCCCAGCACGACCCCGACCCAGCACGACCCCACCCCAGCCCGACCACACCCCAGCACGACCACACCCCAGAACGACCACACCCCAGCCCGACCCCACCCAAGCACGACCCCACCCCAGCACGACCACACCCCAGCAGGACCACACCCCAGCACGACCACATCCCAGCAGGACCCCACCGCAGCACGACCACACCCCAGCACGACCACGCCCCAGCACGACCACGCCCCAGCACGACCACGCCCCAGCACAACCACCCCCCAGCACGACCACCCCCCCCGCACGACCACGCCCCAGCACGACCACCCCCCAGCACGACCACACCCCAGCACGACCACCACCTCAGCACGACCACACCCCAGCACGACCCCACCCCAGCACGACCATACCCCAGCACGAGCACACCGCCTTGGTTGAGTTGTTGCCTGCACGACCACACCCCAGCACGACCACACCCCAGCACGACCACACCCCAGCACGACCACACCCCAGCACGACCACACCCCAGCACCAGCACGACCACACCCCAGCACGACCCGATCGATAAGTCACAGGGTTCGGACCACCCCAGCACGACCACACCCCAGCACGACCCCACTCCAGCACGACCCCACCCCAGCACGACCACGCCCCAGCACGACCACACCCCAACACGACCACACCCCAGCACGACCACACTCCAGCACGACCCCGACCCAGCACGACCCCACCCCAGCACGACCACACCCCAGCACGACCACACCCCAGAACGACCACACCCCAGCCCGACCCCACCCAAGCACGACCCCACCCCAGCACGACCAGACCCCAGCACGACCACACCCCAGCACGACCACACCCCAGCCGGACCCCACCCCAGCACGACCCCACCCCAGCAAGACCACACCCCAGCACGACCACACCCCAGCACGACCACACCACAGCACGACCACACCCCAGCACGACCACGCCCCAGCACGACCACGCCCCAGCACCACCACGCCCCAGCAAGACCACCCCCCATTGCGACCAGCTCCAGGGCGAGTACTGCATTCAGACAGCTCGGGCTTAAGATCCAAATCAGTTAGGCCCGGATTCGGAGGCCACGGGCGAGTTGATCCACAACGCACTTGAGCCCTGCGGAGCCCTACGGGCGCCACGGAGCGCTACTGAGCCCTGCGGAGCCCTACGGAGCTCCAAAACGGCCCCAAGAGGGCCCCGATAGCATCCCCAGGGACCCCAAATCCGTGATTTTGGGGGTGAGGAAGCTACGGGCGGTTTGCCGGTCAGACTTTGAATTCTGACCGGCAAAATCCCTGCAAGGGGAAGGGGCGGGGGGGGGGCCCAAGAGGGCCCCAAGAGGGCCCCAGGAGGGCTCCAGAGGGCCCCAAGAGGGCCCCGAGAGCACGACCCGATCGATAAGTCACAGGGTTCGGACCACCCCACCAACGACCACCCCCAGCACGACCCCACCCAGCACGACCCCACCCCAGCACGACCACCCCCAGCACGAACCCGCACCCCAACACGACACACACCCCAGCACGACACACTCCAGCACGAACCGACCCAGCACGACCCCACCCCAGCACACGAAAACACACTCACCACAGCACGACACTCCCCAGCACGACACACCACACGACCACAACCCCCAGCACGACCACACCCAGTCGCACCCCCGTGGAATGTTTCGTGGGGCGTCTGGTTGAGTGGGTGCCTGTTCGCGGGGTGTCTCGTGGAATGTTTCACGGGGTGTTTCGTGGAATGTTTCGTGAGGTGTCTCGTGGAATGTTTCGTGAGGTGTCTCGTGGGATGTTTCGCGGGGTGTCTCGTGGGATGTTTCGTGAGGTGTCGCCCAGTTGGGTATCGTGAAAACGTGACCATGCTGCACATGTCTATATCCCTTTCCGGGTTCGTGGGTCCATCATGTTTGTTACAAGGTCTTTGTCTGCAAATTGCCACGCATTGTGCATTCATTGAGCCCTTGTACGTCAGTGCCGCAGCGGCTAGCGACGAAGCATGGACAATACTTAGACACTCGAAGGATACTTTTGCTGGTACTTTGATTTAAATGCTACCTCGTGCATTCATTGAGCCCTTGTACGTCAGTGCCGCAGCGGCTAGCGACGAAGCATGGACAATACTTAGACACTCGAAGGATACTTTTGCTGGTACTTTGATTTAAATGCTACCTCGCCTGTTTTATCATCTGCATTCGGTGTTCGCGTTTTGCTCAGATAGCGTTTTTATACATTGTTTTTTGTCGGCAGCAGGTCGCAGGTTTGCGCTGATTGCAGGGGTTGAGTGGAGACTTGAAGCACCACGGTGAAGGATCTGCGACCCAGAGTGCACCCTGCCCCTGCGGGTTTCATCGACGCTGGGGTATCGGACGCCTCCGCTAGTTCATTTGGCTTCACACATCCTTCTGGCCCTGAGCCCCAGCTGGCGTTTCAGAAGTCTTGCAGGAGTGGGATCCACATGTGGTTCCCTCATGGGGAGAGGATTGGTGTAGACGAGGAAAAGAAAACCCGCGATCACTACAGGGGAGAGAGAGCATGTTCAAGTGTGGTGTCCTGGCAGAACGGACGGAAGAGGGAAGCCGCACCCGCAGACTCACGCGCGAGTGCACGTTCAAGCATGCACAAGCATATGCAATAACGCGTACATGCGTTCCCACCCTCCAACCTCATTCCCCGAACAATGCTTGCACTACGGGGTTTTGTCTTGTTTCCTTAGGAACGGGCCTGTACGTCTTTCTGGTGGCTATGTAATCGCCGTCGCCGCCCCGACGCTGGCCATCGTCTGGGCCTTTGCGTAGGTCTGGCGGCTATTCAGTCGCCGTCGCCGCCCCGTCGCCGCTTTGTCGCCGCCCGTCGTCTGTGCCTGGTTTGCGATCTGGCGACTATGTAGCCGCCGTCGCCGCCCCGTCGCCGCCTCGTCGCCTCCCGTCGTGTGGGCCTGGGTGGCGGTCTGGCGGCTCCGTGCTCGCCGCCACCATCTCGTCGCCTCCCCGTCGCTACCCCGTCGCCGCTTAGATAGTACAGCGTCGATTGCACCACGTAGATTGCACAACATAGGTTATATATTATAATCGACATGCAGAGTTTAGCACTTTACATGCGAAGTTGCCCCACCATTCATCTTTCATATGAAGTCATGGCATACCAACCGAACTTGTAATCCCACCTCGCTCTTGTCAATTATTTCTATGCGCGCGCATTCGTGTATCAAAAAGCATTAGTTGTCAATGCCCCCTCGCAACACATTTTACAATGACGACACGCGCGCGTCGTCGCGCGCACACCGACATTCTTCAATCATATTAGGTTTCGCGCGGAAACTAACAGCGACTGTCCTGCAATCGTATCAAAACCAGTGGTTTTGCAACATGATTTTCACAGAAAGACCGCGCGCGCTCTTGCGAATCCCCCAGAAAGACATGCTTTTTTTCCCGGAAAGGGCATGAGCCCAGGGTTCTCTTTTAGTAGGTAAACCTGTCCCCCGGTGCCAACTTGAAGGAGGCCGGCGAATTTTTTCCCTGATAAATATCGAGGTCGAAGGAGGCCGGCGAATTAAAATTTGAGGATGTCTCGAGCGAAACGCTTGTTTTTCAGAATTTGTTGAGGATGTCTCGA